TTTGTTTACGAATTGTGTGAAGTGGTTTAGTCTGTTTGGTGCTGTTAGCAGTGGGGGTCTCGTTGGTGGTCTTCCTGTTTGACTTGGCTTTCCAGTTAGCGATGCAAACAGCCAGCACCATGATGAGCAGCACAATCCCCACACCCATACAGTACCCGTGTTGAAAGAGGAACCAAGAGGAACCTGGAGAAGAATCTGAGGAAATACAGAGAGACAGAGGAAATGAAATTGAGGCCGCTTACTTGATTCTTGAGAGCTGTTGGTAAAATCTGTATTTAATGAAATCACAACTTAATCACACTTTTCCTAAAAACAGCTGCTCTGCATCTCCTCTGGTTGTATTATGTATGTTATGCTAAGTCTTTCAGGGTGGTAAAGTTAGGATGTGTGAAATATAACAAATTATGAGGAATTCTGTCGCACATCATTAGCATATTGGCTCCTTATAACCTCCTTATATCCCCCTATTTGCATCCAAATGTGCATCCAAATGTTTATATATTTAAGGCTCCCTCAACAATTACGTATCCATGTTAAATTGTGCCAATCCAACCCCAAAAAGGAGATTTTTGAAATATGTTGTTTTGGACTGTGCAGCAATTTGCGAAACTTCCATCTATGTTTTTAACTATAAAATACAGTCCTAACAACCCACATCAACAGTGTGCTGATCAAAGCCGGAGGACGCCTACAAGCCAGATGGCTATTAGCACTGCCAGCTTCATAAATATGTTGCATGGGTGATACAAAGGGAGTGCAGGGGAATGCATACGAGTGAGAGGGCAACTAAGGGAGAGGGTCAAGATATTTTGCGGCCGGTGGTTTTTTGTTTTGAAATGAAAAACAAACAAAATCCATTTATAAATATATATATAAAAGCAGAAAGCGGCTTGTTATTTTGTTTCCTGTTTTTTATTTTTAAAACAGAAAATGGAAAATGGCTTTTTCCCCATATTGGTTTTCTCATTTCAAAACAAAAATCTGTTGGCCACAAAGTACACTTATCAGAAGGACATCGTCCTTCAAGCAATTGACCCTTCCTAAGTCCCACCCCTTGTGTCAGGGTAACAACTTAAAATATTAACAAATGTGAAATACAAAACTTGCTTACCTTGAAGCATTGTTCCTTTCCCAACCTTTAAATGTGCGTTCACACTAGCAATACAGAAATACAGTCCTAGGTCCCTCTTCTCAACATCAGTGATCCGCAGTGCCAGAGACCGGTTTGTCAACTCCACTGAGAAACGAGGGTTGAGCTGAAACCCTGAGAAAAAAGCTGTAGTCAGTAGAAGGTATATATCAAATCAGAGTAATAAGTGTAATGTCCCTCCTCCCAAGCTCAACCGCTTTCCTGAAGACAGGTATTTTCAACCTCAACTTCTGCCACTCAGGAATCAAGTGGGATGCTATTTATCCGAGGCTTCCAATCTAATTCCACTTATGAGTTGTATGCTCTCTACAGCCTCAGTTCAGTTGAGTTTAGAGCTCAGCTCTTCATATTCATTCAAATCAGCATTTGACATTATATACTATACCTTGGTTTAGTTGTGCGTCTTTGAGGCTGGCACAGAGGACGACAGTGGGGGGGAGATCTGGGTTGTGCTTAAACCATGTTGTATCATAAAGGTAGGAGATGTTACAGCCCAGAGTGACTGTTGAACCGAACTGGACATGTTGGACCTCAGCAGCAGGCACAAACAGCATCCAAAAACCAGTCATAGTGATAAACCCTAGAGTGGATCAAATGGACATCAATGTTATAAATGTATGCGTGAGTTTGATCTGTAAAAATGTTTGACACAGACCTTAACATTTTTAAAGATTAAGTGTATAACATGTAGGGCTCTATGGGCAAATGGAATATGATTTTCATTTTAAAATAAGAAAACCAAAATCGAGCCATTTCCCATTTTTTGTTTTGAAAAAAATAAAAAACAGTAAATGAAAAAACAACCAATTTACTGTTTAAAAAAGAAAACCAGAAAACATTACCCATATTTATAAATGAAACAGCAAATTTCTCGTAATTTTGTTTTTCTCATTTCAAAACAAAAATCTGTTGACCGCAAAGTACACATACCCATAGGTATGTTTTCATTAGTGTATAAAATAAGAATTGTTATGTTTTCGTTAAAACATAACAATTAACAATTAGAAGTTTTCACGGCAACTGCAGATTCTCCAATACACTTGGAATGTGACCAATATAATCACTAGATCTCACTAAATCGTACACACTAGTCCTTTAAAGTTGGAGTACAGGACATAAATAGTCCTTGCCAAAGTTCCCACATTACTGATTACACCCATACCTCCCAAGTAAATCTCTATGTAATCTACAGTATACCGAAGTTTTTAAATCCGTTGTCTCTCTCTATTCTCTGTCATCTGGTGAATTTCCCTGAGATAGCCAATGTACACCCCACCTCCTAATTTTTAACCTACCCCAAAATTGGATTTTTTTTCTTTTCCAATTTGGGTTTCGTTCATTTTACAGAATCAAAACAGCTCTTGGGAAGGTTAGCAAGGATTTACTACTAGCTGCTGACTCACAAAATACTACACTTGCTTGTAATATGTTAGCTTACATACAATTACTACAGTGGCAGTAGTTTTTCTGTGGCAGTTGGTGGAAATTCCACATTCATAGTACCTCTCTCTTCTGGTGTCCATCTCGGAGCAATCTTAGGTCCCCATGTTTTCTCTATCTATATTCCTCATCTTTGTTATTTAAATATGTACAACATGCAATTCCACCGTTACCCAGGTGGCACTCAATTCTCTCTCAAACTTTAATCTCATGAATCATCTGATGTCATGTGGTTTCCCCGGTTACATATTATTCATACTGTACGTAACCTGTTATGTGCAACAGTTCAGTCTGAGCTCCTGACAAGAAGTTGTTCTGGTTGTTTCATCAACACACCTGTTTAGCAGTGTTGATTAGTTGTTGAAATGTTGAAACTAGCACCGTGGTACA